GCTGAAACTGAAAAAATTGAAAAACAGTCCTGAGGTAAGGTCGCTTTAAAGGACCACAAAGTGGCGAATCTGCTACTGCGCCTCTCGGGACTAAGTGCAATTTTCGGTGCCGTATCTTAAAGGGGCTACAGTCCGTAGAGAAGTGGTTTTTGCTGGACGGCAAAAGGACTATAAGCATTACTATAAGGAGACAGTAGCCAAGAAGGTTGAAGGGACAAACCAGTTAATTAATTTAGAGTAAATTAAAGTGTTGGAAAAGGGAAAAGGGAAAAAAACAGCAAGAAAGATAAAGGAAATTGACTTTCTGATTTGATGGTGATCTTAAGTTTGAGCAACAGAGCAGTGGAAGAAGATTGGTTCCTTTGGCTTTAACAGCGAGTTCGTGTCTGAGCAGCAGAAGAAGAGGTGGAGAGAAGCATGCTGTTTACTGACCAAAGACTGTGCAGAGTTGCTGAGTTGTCTGATGAATTAATTGCGTGATGAAGTGATTAACTGCTTAAAATTGATTGCTGTTTTGGAAAGGATTATAAACTATAATTATACTTATATATAAGAGGTTTAGTAAGGTTTAATGAAATAAGGATTATGTTGAGTTGTTTTTTTGTCTGATGATTTAATTGAATTAACTGATTTATGAACTGATCTGATGAATTACTTAAAATCGATTGTTGGCTTGGAAAGGGTTATAGATAATAACTACACTTGCACATAAGAGGGAAATAAATATTGATCTAGTAGGCTTTAGTAAGGCTTAATGATTTAAGGTATTGTAAGGTTTAAATGAATTAATGAATTAAGAAGGAATAAGAATAAACAGGGAAGAACTAAGAAAAAAATATATATAGGGAAAAACTTCGGGGGACTTTTTTGTGGTTGCTGGTGTTAAGGATTGGAGAATCTGTTGTTTAAAAAGCCTGAGTACATATATAGTACTGGGGGAAAAAAAGGTGTTCCTTGAATTACTTGAATTGAATTGAATAATATAAAATAGAATAATTAAAAAAGAGGGAAAAGTTAAAACTAAAAGTAATCTTAGCTGGCGTAAAGACGAGGGTAGGGCCACAAAAACTGTTAAAGAAGTCTAAAGGAGTTTAAAGGAAAAGAGCCAACTCTGAGAAATATATTGATTATTGACTGTTACCGAAGGTTGATTAGAACTCTGTTAGGATAAGAGTATAAGAGAGTGGAAGAGTAAAAGGAAAACAGAAAGGTATATAGAATGGAAAAACAAGAAAAAGGGGCAACTGCAAGGAGGGGGTCTGTATCAATACCTGGCTCAAATCCTCCAGTGTGGAACCCTAAAGATTTTCAGATTTTAATTCAGGAGTCTGTAAATATGGCAGTAGAAGCCAATGACAAAAGCAATGGAGCCAATTCAAAAGAAATTGGAAGAGCTCTCAAAATTAGATGATATCTCAAATCAATTAACCACACAAACAGAGGAGATTAAAAAACAATTGATTGAAAATAAACAAGAGATATCTGAGCTTGTAAAAAGGACAGAGAAATTAGAAACAAGGACTGACCATACAGAAGATAAATTACAATTAGTTAAAGATAAACAAAAAGATCTGGAAGAAGCCGTGATTAGGTTAGAGATGGAGAAAGCCTCTTACATATTGCGATTACAGAACTTTCCTGAGAAGAAGGGAGAAGATTTGAGGCAAGAGCTGGGCCAGGCTTTGACAGAATTTTTAGAGTTAGAAACCTCCTCAGAAGTTGATAAAGACATAGAAGCTATATACAGAGTAAATTCTGCCTATGCTAGGCGCAATAAAGTTCCCAGAGAAGTACAAATAAAATTTTATAGAAGAGATTTAAAAGATAACATCCTGAAAACTGCAAGTGAAAAGACCCTCAAAGTTGGTGAGTCCCAGATTAGAATTTTAAGAGAAATCCCATGGAAGGTCAGGGAAAAGAGGTTTGAATATCAAACATTAGTAGAGCTTTTGAAACAACAGAATATACAGTTCAGATGGCTGATACCGGAAGGGCTCTTCTTCATCTACAAAGGGAAAAGATACAAAATAAACTCTTTATTTAAGCTGGAAGAATTTCTGGAGAAAAATGGCAAAGATTTAGGATTCCAAGAGGAAGAAGAGGAAGAGGAAAATACAACTGAATCAGAAGAGGAGGCCCAGAAACAAGAGGTAGCAGCAAGCAAGTTAGAGGAGAGACCGAAAGCAAAACAGAAAAAAAGAAAAGAGAGACCCAGATTCCCGTTCCTAATGGTTACAAGACAAAACCCCAGAGACAAGAAGGATCAGACAGAAGAAACTAGCAATGAATAAACAAGGCATTAAATTAATATCTGTTAACGTAAACGGCTTAAATTCACCACAAAAAAGATCCAGAATCTTTCACCAGTTAAAGAAACAAAAGGCTGATATTATTTGACTCCAAGAAACGCACTTGAAAATAGAAGATAGACGTTTCTTGGAAAATAACAGACTAGGCAAACTATTTATGGCGGCAAATAAAGAAAAGAAAAAGAATGGAGTAGCTACTTACGTGAGAGAACATCTACAACCAGAGATGGTATTTGAATCAGAGGACGGAAGAATGGTATTAACACAAATTTCAAGACAGAATAAAGTACTACTGATAGTGAAAATCTATGCCCCCAATCAGAATACAGAATCTTACTATAAGCAGCTAGGCAAAACAATAGCAAACTACTCTTGGGATGAAATCTGTATTGTGGGAGACTACAATGCGGTTTTCAATAACGCCATGGATAGGAAGTCAAATGCGAAAAAACGAATGCAAGGAAATGAACTACCCAAATCTTTCCTGAAAACAGTAGAAGAATTGAATATTGTCGACGCGTGGAGAACAAAGAATATAAATAGTAGAAA